CCGCCCACAACTTCCCTGTTATATGAGACAGGTTGTGATTTACGGGAAATACTAATAAATATTACCAAATGAGATAATGAAGGATACTTGTATCGTTTTTGTTGTCTTAATTCTTAGCAATGTGAGCAAATAATCTATTTTTAGATGGGATTTTTTTTTAATATTTTTGTGTATTGAATTCGTTTTTGATTTAATTAGTATAATCTGCACTGCACTTAATGTAAATTTAATTTATTTTTATATTATGTTTGTACTCAGTGCAGTGCCAATTTTATTGCGATTTGAAAGTCCATAATAAGCAAATTTTTAAAAAGCTATCTGTTCTAAGAAAATGATGTAAAATAAATGCAAAAGTTTGTGAGTGAATGTTAATTCTTCTCATAATGGTTACCATAGAAGCGAAACCCTGGGAGGAAACTAGTATGTCTATATTTTGTAAAGTAAATATTGTTGATAAGCTTTGATTGTCTTTGATCTTATAATAATTTGAAAGGGGCATAAGCTCCTTGAAGTTTATAAAGACCGTAATTTTATTATAATATATATCCGCTTCTTACACTTTATTGAGAGCTACTTCAATTCTTACCATCGTGCATCGTGAGGGCTTATTATGTAGCGCATTAAATCTTGATCTAAACAGAATGTGACAAAATTATTAGTTCCGGTGCTTTGTTGGCTTAATCTACTTTAAATAGATATATAAATGAACGAACATTTGTGTGATATAATATCAAAATTCGTCCTTAGTGAAAAAAAAACAAATCTATCCCACGGGAAACGTACATTTTTGCGGAATAAAAATTAATCTATGTGCTATTCCAAACTATAGTCTGGGTGAATCTTGAGAGACTAAATTAACATTGTCTGGAGGGAAAAACTACCTGTTACGTATAAAAATTGTAATATAAATATTTTTTGCTGTTAGTTTAATGTTTGATCTACTAGGGGCATGCTAGTTAACGAAGTTATTATGGGTGAATCTTGAAATCGGGCGTATTCAGATGATTCCTCTGGCGATTTTTTTATCTAATTATTATTTACTTTTACATGCAAAAGTTTAAATATAACATAATTATAAACACATTTATCAAATAGGCATCACTGTAACTAGTCTCGTTATAAAGATATATGTGATTTAAATTTTTGGTGGCAGGGGAGTCAATAAAAGGTGGCAGGGGAGTCAAAATTATAGCTATTTTATATGAATTATATGTTTTATTTAAATTTTAAACTAATCAGTCTTTTGATTTCAATATTTGGACTTTACCCTTAATAAATAATGATAATAATTATAACTAAAAAACAAATAAAATCATATGATAAACAATGTAAAATAAATAAAAAATGAGTTTACATTCTAAATGAACAAACAATTTTCTAAAAAATATTATAATCAGAAGAATCTGAATCTTCATCACTATAGAGAGCGGATAGTACGACTTTAGTCATAGAAGATGTGATTAAGTTCTCATTCATTGATGGGACATCACTCTACAAGCTGTCATCAGATGGTACATTATTAATCTCAAATTGGTTACTCTGGATTGAAGTTCCGGCCAGCCGATAGTTCGGGCTTGAGTTAGCAGTAATATCAATCTGATTTTCGTTTATTGCGGTCTTTTTTGATATCATAGTTTTAGGGGTACTAGTGTTCTCCAAAGTTATACTTCGGATATTATAGAAACCGATATGTTGTCCATGGGGACAATAATTTGATTCTTCAGAACATTTTTCTAAATTACAGCTAAGGTGTCTCATGGCTAGGACCTTAGGATTATTACAGGTCCATATCGTTTGATGAACTCTCATGGTGCCTCGAAATTCTTTTAAATCACAGGGAATTAATAGTTCCGTCTCCAAAATGCCAGATTCGTGAACTTCCATTATCATACCCTCGGATATTTGAATTTGAAGGTGACTAATAAGGAGATCAATATTTGGAAAATCATTCCCTACAGCAACAATCCGATCAGCTGCTATTTTTAATACTTCTCCCACACTATCAGGAGCTCCTTTGCCATGCCCTTTTTCCGAGTAATTCCAAACTACACGCTGTAAACTTTTATAGTCCCAATGAAGCTTAGCCATCACGTAGAACATTTTTCGGTTTCTATATTGAGCAGATGGCAAGTCTGATATAAAATGCAATGTCTCCAGTACAGAAATGTTGCCGCTAACAAAGTTTAACACAGGAACCAAATGCTCCCAGATGGCGACAGCATCGTGTCTTAAGCATTCACTTAAAGTACAGAAAGATTTAGTACATAACTCCCATTTTGTAATTAGTAAATAACAGAGGTATGTAATGATACTCGTATCTGCTGTCGAGAACTACCAAAGTGAAAAGCCTGAATTTCGGAAGCATATTTAGTATTGTAGGGTTTACTGAAATCATAGTGCATAATGCATTCTCCTGATTTCAGTTTTGATTTCAAGTTCTTGATATAGTTGTTTTGCAAACAATATTGGCACAGTGACTCATGTACTGTTTTAATAACCACTTAAAAAGCTCAATTATGACACTGTTCATATCAGAATCATCATTGTCTTCAATAATTATGTGTTCTTCAAGTTCTTTTAACTTCTTTAGTTTTTTTTCTGATTATATCGTTTTGAACTTTCTCTATCCCTTTTTATCATATTTTTTTGTTATCTTGGAGACATTTCACCTATTGGTAGAATTATTCCTTTACTCTTTTTGGTTAAATATTTTTGTCTTTCTTTTTCTTGTTGATTTGCTCGTAATACAGGATCACTTTTTTTTTTCCAATTTTTGTCGCTCAGTCGCAGTCGTTTTTTCTCTAGTATTTCTTCTCTTGTTTGTTTTGGAGTCATTATTTAAGCCTGTAACATTAAACTAACAAATAAATTAATTGACACCACTTTCATTTTTTTACATCTCATCAGTCTCCCTTCAACGAGAGCTCAAAAATACTTTATTGATAATGTAACTACTAAATAATAATTTAAAATATAAGATTTTGTAGGAGAAAATAAGAAATAATACATTACCCTGGTACAACACTGGTGGAATCAACACCAATGGAATCAAAAAAGAGCACATTTTTTGTCGATTTTGTAAAAATCGAAATGTTTTGTCCAGAAGTAATAAAATATATAATTAATAACACTTTACTCCGTACTGTACACCCTAGTTAAGAAACCCTAAATTATCAAAAAACAATTTTAAATGTGGGAAGGGTAATCAATGACCTAGTGAAACAAAACCAAGGGAATCAAATTCTTACCTTCGTAAATCCAGTTTTGAGCAATGAGAAGCTTGACCTACCCTCACGATGCTTAAAGCGCGACTTAAGCTTGGCCGACAGCGCGCGCTTATACTCCCATGACATTCGTTTAGTGATGTACGAGTGGATAAATCACGCGCCAAGGGGATCAATGTTTGACCTCAGACAAACCAAAACTATTTTTTTTTATTTAAACTACGTTAAATATTAGACATTGTGTAATTATTTACTTATTTAACAACTCTTCCATTAACGTTTAGATCAACACAATTCCTAAATTTCCTATTATACATTGGTGTAAAATTAATAGTTTGTTCCATGAATATCAAAGGGACAACCCAGGGGAATCAATTTTCAGGGCTTTGAATTTTTTTTTCACACATTATCAACTATAATAACTTCGTTAACTAGCATGCCCCTAGTAGATCAAACATTAAACTAACAGCAAAAAATATTTATATTACAATTTTTATACGTAACAACTCGTACATCACTAAACGAATGTCATGGGAGTATAAGCGCGCGCTGTCGGCCAAGCTTAAGTCGCGCTTTAAGCATCGTGAGGGTAGGTCAAGCTTCTCATTGCTCAAAACTGGATTTACGAAGGTAAGAATTTGATTCCCTTGGTTTTGTTTCACTAGGTCATTGATTACCCTTCCCACATTTAAAATTGTTTTTTGATAATTTAGGGTTTCTTAACTAGGGTGTACAGTACGGAGTAAAGTGTTATTAATTATATATTTTATTACTTCTGGACAAAACATTTCGATTTTTACAAAATCGACAAAAAATGTGCTCTTTTTTGATTCCATTGGTGTTGATTCCACCAGTGTTGTACCAGGGTAATGTATTATTTCTTATTTTCTCCTACAAAATCTTATATTTTAAATTATTATTTAGTAGTTACATTATCAATAAAGTATTTTTGAGCTCTCGTTGAAGGGAGACTGATAAGATGTAAAAAAATGAAAGTGGTGTCAATTAATTTATTTGTTAGTTTAATGTTACAGGCTTAAATAATGACTCCAAAACAAACAAGAGAAGAAATACTAGAGAAAAAACGACTGCGACTGAGCGACAAAAATTGGAAAAAAAAAAAGTGATCCTGTATTACGAGCAAATCAACAAGAAAAAGAAAGACAAAAATATTTAACCAAAAAGAGTAAAGGAATAATTCTACCAATAGGTGAAATGTCTCCAAGATAACAAAAAAATATGATAAAAAGGGATAGAGAAAGTTCAAAACGATATAATCAGAAAAACTAAAGAAGTTAAAAGAACTTGAAGAACACATAATTATTGAAGACAATGATGATTCTGATATGAACAGTGTCATAATTGAGCTTTTTAAGTGGTTATTAAAACAGTACATGAGTCACTGTGCCAATATTGTTTGCAAAACAACTATATCAAGAACTTGAAATCAAAACTGAAATCAGGAGAATGCATTATGCACTATGATTTCAGTAAACCCTACAATACTAAATATGCTTCCGAAATTCAGGCTTTTCACTTTGGTAGTTCTCGACAGCAGATACGAGTATCATTACATACCTCTGTTATTTACTAATTACAAAATGGGAGTTATGTACTAAATCTTTCTGTACTTTAAGTGAATGCTTAAGACACGATGCTGTCGCCATCTGGGAGCATTTGGTTCCTGTGTTAAACTTTGTTAGCGGCAACATTTCTGTACTGGAGACATTGCATTTTATATCAGACTTGCCATCTGCTCAATATAGAAACCGAAAAATGTTCTACGTGATGGCTAAGCTTCATTGGGACTATAAAAGTTTACAGCGTGTAGTTTGGAATTACTCGGAAAAAGGGCATGGCAAAGGAGCTCCTGATAGTGTGGGAGAAGTATTAAAAATAGCAGCTGATCGGATTGTTGCTGTAGGGAATGATTTTCCAAATATTGATCTCCTTATTAGTCACCTTCAAATTCAAATATCCGAGGGTATGATAATGGAAGTTCACGAATCTGGCATTTTGGAGACGGAACTATTAATTCCCTGTGATTTAAAAGAATTTCGAGGCACCATGAGAGTTCATCAAACGATATGGACCTGTAATAATCCTAAGGTCCTAGCCATGAGACACCTTAGCTGTAATTTAGAAAAATGTTCTGAAGAATCAAATTATTGTCCCCATGGACAACATATCGGTTTCTATAATATCCGAAGTATAACTTTGGAGAACACTAGTACCCCTAAAACTATGATATCAAAAAAGACCGCAATAAACGAAAATCAGATTGATATTACTGCTAACTCAAGCCCGAACTATCGGCTGGCCGGAACTTCAATCCAGAGTAACCAATTTGAGATTAATAATGTACCATCTGATGACAGCTTGTAGAGTGATGTCCCATCAATGAATGAGAACTTAATCACATCTTCTATGACTAAAGTCGTACTATCCGCTCTCTATAGTGATGAAGATTCAGATTCTTCTGATTATAATATTTTTTAGAAAATTGTTTGTTCATTTAGAATGTAAACTCATTTTTTATTTATTTTACATTGTTTATCATATGATTTTATTTGTTTTTTAGTTATAATTATTATCATTATATATTAAGGGTAAAGTCCAAATATTGAAATCAAAAGACTGATTAGTTTAAAATTTAAATAAAACATATAATTCATATAAAATAGCTATAATTTTGACTCCCCTGCCACCTTTTATTGACTCCCCTGCCACCAAAAATTTAAATCACATATATCTTTATAACGAGACTAGTTACAGTGATGCCTATTTGATAAATGTGTTTATAATTATGTTATATTTAAACTTTTGCATGTAAAAGTAAATAATAATTAGATAAAAAAATCGCCAGAGGAATCATCTGAATACGCCCGATTTCAAGATTCACCCAGTCTATCTCTGTGCCAAATTTCATCTAGATCCGTTCGTTCGTTCTGGCGTGACTGAATAATAAACATCCATTCAAACTTTCGCATTTATAATATTAATGGGATTTCCTTACTCTTACTATTTGATGGCAGGGGTGATGTTCTAACATGACCTCAGATCAGGCTCTGGATTGACAGAATCACGTGGTCATTTTGGCATAACCACTTTATTAAGTACTTATAACCTCTTAGAGGCTATTAAGAATTTCATTGCATGAAAAACCTTTCCCTTTATAATCTGCATCGTATACGATAACGCAAAAGATTAATATACTTTTACTTTTAAAGTCGTTGTAACTTTTCAGTTAAAATGTATGTTTATTTATTAAACTATTTATTTTTTCATCAGGCCGATAGAGAGGAGTGGACGGAGGAACGCGAGCAACGATGCGGTTGGGGAGGTTTAAGACCAGCGTGGCTTCAACGTTTTCGAACAGCCAAATGGGCACTATTCTGGTTGTGCTGGGCCGGTGCTATACAGGGTAAGTACTGTACTACATATATGCACCCTAAATAATAAACATGTATATTGTACTCGTATATAGAATATTTCTTAATATTAAGATTTTATTAGTTTCACTTATAGTAAAATTTAAAAATTTGACTTTAACCTACGAGTACTTTTCTAACAGATATTTGACTCATGACGTTTGGGAAATTGTATTAATTTAATGCTAAATATTTTGTTTATTTGAATTTAATCATCGTGTCAAATTGAAACTTCGTACTAATGGTAAAGTCAGGTAGTATAGTATAGATACTGGAACTCTTGACAAGTCTTCTCTTCTCAAGTGAAATTATTGCCCTCACGTATATTTTATTTATTTTGACTAACTCTAACGTATGAAAAATGTAGGTTTTTTTATGTTGAACTGTACCTACTTATTACTAATTTTTTGTCGTCATTGATCAAAAAAGTACTAAATAAACAATCCGATGCAAAAATTTCTCTTAAAACTGTCACCAATTGTGTTTCGGTAATAATATTCTCGTTGCAATAAATATTTAGCAATATAAATTGAATCTTAAAAGCAATGCTTAAAGTTGTTTTCACAAAAAATAAATAAATTAAAAGCGCGCTCAAATGTTCAAATGACTGCTCATTCGATGAGAACATATTTTGTCGCTGATTGTGTATATAGTACTTTTTTGATCGATGTTCGTAGTAGTATATATCGTCTTTCTTTATGCGAACTAAACTAAATCGTACGTTCAAAATTCCTCACAAATTTTTACTTTTGGTTAGAAATATTTTCATTCGAATACATAATACATTATATTAGTTTTTTATTTCAAATTATCTTTAAAGTTTGGATAGAAGACAATTAGGAGGGATGGACAGACTTACATACACACACACATATATATATATATACTGTATCTTAATAAAAGAGTCGATAGAAAACGATAAAAAACAATCAAGTAGAAAAAGTAAGAAAACAACGTACTTTATTACTCATTTAAATATTCATGAATCTAAAAAGCGAATAATTTACTCGTAATTTAATACTTCTTTTGTTTATTTTACGATATGTTTGAAGAAGTGCGATTTTTCGCTTCACGCGTAAATAGTCTACGGATTAATAGCAAACACGGAAGTTGTGTGATAGTGTAACGCTGGGACTGCACGTGCGAGTTTTGATTAAATAAGATATCACATATAATATGTATCGTTATAATATAAAATATCAAGACAGAAACAAATCTGTCCCACAGGAAACGTACATTTTTACGGGATAAAAAGTAACTTATTTCAGACTATAATCTATGTCTGTGCCAAATTTCATCCAGATTCGTATAGTCGTTCTGGCGTGACAGAGTAACAAACATCCATACATCCATCCACCCTCACAAACTTTCACATTTATAATATTAGTATGGATATGTTGTTCTAACAGTAACACAAAGTTACTCCAGAGTCCATGTCTACCGCACCCTTACATACAAGCTTTCTTTATTAGTTAAATATTTTCGATTTATAGTAAAATTTAGTTATTAGTAAGAATATAAAAGTTAAATCAAATTTTTCATGAAACTAATTAAAATATAAACACCCGTTCGTGTCTTCTCCGTTCTACGTGCCTTTGCCGAAGTAATATGTGTTCAAATGGCACGCTTTTTCTTATTTACCAGAACAATTTTAATCTATCTATACATATAATAAAATTCCAACTAAGCCGAATCTATAAATTAAATATTTTTTGGAAAATCTTATAGTTTTTAGAATTTTTGCCTGTGTGTCTGTGACCGCACCATGGAAAAACCACTGGAGTGATTTTCATGAAATTTTGGTATGATGATAACTGGTAATCTGGGTCAACATACAGGATACTTTTTACTGCGGGAAAATATCTCATCTCTGAGAAATCTATACTAAACGTTAAAACGTAACTAGGTATGAACCCGAGCAGAGCTAGGGTGAGTCGCTAGTTTTATATATAAAATAGATCAGCTATCAGAGAAACAGTATCAAAACATATAACAAATTTGTTATCGTTATTACTTAGAATATTAAATAATAATTATGAGTTATAAGATAGATTTTAAATAAAACTATCTTTACGGATTTCCGAAAAGATACTCGTAGTTTTATTTAAAATGTCAAATATTCGCGTAAATCTAAGAAAGTATTATACGGTTATTATTCCATTTCGCGATGCATGGGAGCACACGGTAAAGCATGTTTTACATACACAATTAAAATGTGGGGTTTTTATAATTCTGTGCGATCTACTTTTTCACTAATTGTAAGTAATACATTTTAGAACATCTTACTTGCCCTTGGCGTATAAGTTTACATACTATTTTTTTATATAAAATACCACAGTGCGTGACGAATTTCTTCTCCTTTTAAACGGCTTGAACGGTTCTGATAAAATTTGTATGTAGTTTTTTGTACTTTGAGGTCATCTGGATGGTTCTTATGTATTGAATCTTTAGTTGGAGCCAGTTTTTTTTTCTATTTTCCAACCGAACGAGGACTGTGACAGAACGTTTCGCTACCGCATCCGCTAGCTGTTATACATAAAAATTACATATTTTACAGAGAAATAGATCTACTACTGTGTTTTGGTATAATGCAGGGTCGCTCTTTTATGTTTATGAAAGGATGAGTACACCTTTTCTTCGCTCTTTAGAATGATATCGTCCCATGAGGAACTCAAATCCAACATCTTCGCCATGAAAGACCACTCTAATAACACCTGACATGCATAACAAGGTCGTCTATACAGCAAAACTAGCATTGCCCGCGGCTCCGCCCGCGTCAGATAACCAAAAACCAAATTCTTAAGTTTTACATATTAGTATATTCTTACATTGCAGCTTTTGTATTTTTTCTCAGAAATGTGATATTTTCCCGCGGTAAAAAGTATCCTATATGCTAACCCAGATAACCAGCTATCTTCATACTTAATTTCGTCAAAATCTCTCCAGTGGTTTTTCCGTGATGCGGTAACAGACAGACAGACAGACAAAATTTTTAAAAACTATAGATTCGGCCTCTGTATCGATAAAAATGTCTAATATTGCGATAAGATTTTCCAAAAAATATTTAATGTACAGATTCGGCTTAGTTAGAATTTTATTATATGTAAAGATAATTTCATATTATTAAGCTAATAAGCCTAGGATATAAAAAGAGTATGAAAAACAAAGCTTCAATCCCACAGGGAGTCTCACCCCTCAAAAAGCATAAAATGGTTAACGTAACGACGAAATACGGTAATCGTTGAACAAAAACAAACTACGCGCCTTAACAAGGTTTACACGTGATTTGTTCGCTGAATTAAACTCCCGATTCAATTACGACGCTGCAGAGGGATTCGCGAAATCTCAAACAAAATTCTGATAAAGTGAGTTCATTTTGTTTCGATGTCAGTTTGTATGTGCATTGTGCATTACTCCCCAATTACCGCATGTTTTAAAAATTAAAAAACAAAAAAAAATTAGGTAAATATATGATAGTAAGAGCGACTTATGTCCGATTTCACCAACTACACCTAAGTTTAAGGGATCCCCTAAGCATGGTTAGGGGGCTGTTAATGGACAGTTTCTGTTCAGTTAGGGGTCACTTAAATATTAAAAGGCCCCCTAAATTTAGGTGCTCGAAATATGGGCTTAAAGATGATCGTAAAACGAAATTTAATTTAGGGGCTAGTTTAGAGGACTTTTAAGCTCCCATAGGTAGGTGGTAGCTTATGGGTTGTTGGTGAAATCGGGCATCACTCACGCAGCACCACGCTCCTCTCGGTTTCGTCCCTAGTTACGTTTTACGTTTAGTATAGATTTCTCAGAGATGAGATATTTTCTCGCAGTGAAAAGTATCCTATATCGAGGGTTTACTGCGAAAACCAGCTAAGTGCAGTCAAGTTAGTTTTGAGCTATTGCGTTTTAAAAGTTTATACCTAATAAAAATGCTATAATTTTAGTAGGCTTTAAATACTGTTGTAGTAAGTAAATATGTGTCACAGAAGTGTATGAAATAATGAAACTCATGAGTGAGGTAGTACTGTTAGTTTATGATATTTTAGCAATCGAGTATTGAACGAATTGTTGTATATAACACTTTTTTACTTTGTTATATCTTCTAAAGTGCTTAACGTAGCACTTAGCCGGTTTTACCAGTACGAGTTCGAAAAGATAAGAATTTTCATTTATTTAACTCAATTTTGTCAAAAATGTAGTTTAGCAGGTTTTCGCAATTCGCTGTGAACCCTCGATATGTTGACCCGGATAACCAGCTATCATCATACAAAATTTCATCAAAATCTGTTCAGTGGTTTTCTCGTGATGCGGTCACAGACAGACAGACAGACATATATTCTAAAAACTATACATTCGGCCTTTGTATCGATAATAATTACTATTTCAATAAGATTTTCTAAAAAATATTTATTGTACAGATTTGACTTAGAATTTTATTATATGTATAAGTACAGGCGCTATACATTTATTTTAGTAATTTTGTCTACAAGGTGGAATCTTTTTTCATATCTCCAAAACCACTCAATGAATTCTTCAAAATAATTTTCTTTTCTGTATTTCGAAAGGTGAAAAAACTTTTTTTTGATTGATTGCTGTCCAACATATTTGCCACATAAAAGTTTGAACCCGCGACATAGGATAAAATATACACATCTACTCTAATATTATAAAGAGGTAAGGTTTGTTAGTTTGTATTTAGGGGCTAATCTTTGAAACTACAGATCCAATTCTGCAAATTATTTCACTAATAGAAAGGTTTATTACTCCCGCGCCGAGTGCTATAGGCTATTTATTATTACAATTAAAACTTGCTTATTGTCAGGAATCATAATAATTTTAATTGAAATCGGAAAAAAATGCTGTTGAGTTACTTTATCGACCAGCGAATTAGACGTTTTAAATAGATACAGGTAGTTATTGCGAGTGTACCTTAGGAGATAAGACTCATGCTTGATATTGCGGACTTTTCTGTAGGCCTTTTTAAGTTAAACCTAAC